GAAGATGTTTTTCAGATGTAATTTTCCAGTGAATCAAGAAGCCAGACAAAAAGTGTAAAACAAACAAAACAATCTGCAGGACTAGATTCACATTAATCTACTGCAAGATGCTGTTTGGCACTGTTTTAAATTCATTACAGATGATTTAGATTCTGTTATATTTACCATTTCATATTTACCAATAAGCAGTCTCCATGAAGTTGAAGCTGAGTTTTTGTGTTTTTGTTCCGTCTCCCAGTGGGTGGAGACTCATCCTCAGTGTGAGCGGATGCGGCTTGGGGACATGCAGGCCAAACCCCATCAGAGGATCACAAAATACCCCCTGCTGCTGAAAGCTGTGCTCAGAAACACCCAGGACCCTCATGTACAGCACACGCTCAGAGGCATGGTGAGGATCTGACACGAGTAAACCATGTAACCTGTTTGTCTTCTGCAGAGCAACAAAAGTCTTTCTAACCGTCTGTCTTTTTTTCAGCTGTCCAGTGTAAACAGCTTCCTGGAAAGTATCAATGACTACCTGAAGCTCAAAGATGAGGAGCTCGCTCTCTCCATCTCTGCTCAGAGGGTGGAGGGGTATGAGGTGGAAGGAATAAGTGAAGAAATTGACAAGGTAATATGTCACATTCTTGAAAACACACTAAGGGGAGATTTGTGTGTTTGTGTGTGTCACCCGCTCTAACATGATGATTACTGTGATGTTTTCCCGTGACGGATTTCCTCGACAGCATGTCCGAGAGATCTGCCAGTTTGACCTCACTTGCCCGGTCAGAGGAGTTGGTCCTGGAGTCGTACGCAGGCTGCTGCTGGAGGAGAACTTGAAGATTCGCGACAGAAAAGACAACAAGGTGAGCCAAGCCTGTGGACTCACTGTACTACGTTTAAATCTGTCTCTTCAGAGCCTCCTTTTCATCCCTTTTTTACTTGCTTGTGTTTCCTTGGACATGGTATCATGCAGCTGGAGGTGGTGGCTCTACTTTTCTCAGATGTGCTTCTAATGACCAAAGTCCAGAAGAAAGGAGAGCGGCTGAAAGTGGTTCGACCTCCTCTGGCCCTGGACAGAACTTCCTGCATAGCACTGAAAGACGGCTGTGAGTATTACTTTCCTGTAGAAACTGAGCCAGGTGTATTCTAGTCAGATATATCATAAATCCCTTTTTAAAAATTCTCCTCTTCTCTCAGATTCATTTGTTCTTGTGGAGGTTGGTGAACTTCAGAGTGCTATGAATGTCTACATCTTTTCAGCCAGCACCTCAGAGAGCTGCTCCACATGGGTCTCCACCATCCACCAGGCCAAGGTAAAAACTGATATTGCTGATCAAAGCTTATGTCTTAGCAACAATAAAGCAACACCAGCAGTGTAACTCATGTTTCCTGGAAAGTTAATCCCCACAAGTGTTGGTGAGCTGACTTTTCCCTCCAGCACCATTTCTGTGCTGGTGAAGCGTGAAGCGTCTCAACAATGTTGTATAGACTGTTCTTAAAGATGTGTCTCCACTTCCTCCCACTATTCAGAAATGAAACCGAAATATCTATGATAAGAACACTGTCATCTTGCCTATTTGGATTTAATTAAATTTTTCTATTTTACTTTATCAGGGAACACTGGCGGACCGGAGAAAGATAGAGACCAACAGACAAATGGAAAACTGGAAGAACCAACTGGAGACAAAATCTATCAAAGAAACCAAGATGGATAATATGGAGACAAGAAACCAACATTTTGTGGATCAACTTGATGAGGAAATGATCATGCAGCAGTCAATAAATGGGATGTTGGCGTCAAAAGAAGCAGAGGGAGTGTATCTGTATCAACCTGCAGATGAAGTTAGCACTAACAACACTGGAGTAACTGTTTGGGTTACCCAGGCCAGCGACAGTAATCGTAATCAAGGGGGTAAGAGCTTTGCTGTTCAGCAACAAACAATCAAAGAATATGAATGGATAGAAATGGGAATGAGAGGCGATCAAGATGGGAACCCCACAGAGGAAGAAGAGAAAGTAGTCGAGACTCAGATGACAAAGGACCGAAGGGTGACCTTTCACCACAGACCACAGTCTGCCCCAAATCTGGATCTTTTCACTCATAGAGCTGCCGAAGATTCATTAAGATTCAATACAAATGGACCACACAATCTTTTGATAGGTGGATTACCAGATGTTGACTACCCAACAAATGAACGTAGCCCTTCACCATTTTCCTACCAACAAACCACGTCCAGGGAAAGGCCCGGGCTTCAGAGACGACTGGGAGAAAGAGGGATATCAACAGGGAGAGATTTCCTGTCTGTGAACCAGGATGTGAGAAAGTTCAGTAAAAGCCACTCTGGAGACATCCAGACATCTCCAGAGGTTTGGGAGTTCACAAAAAATTTGAAGTCACCCGTGTTACGGAGGAGGAGACCACTCAACATGCATCAGGCACCCACCACTCGGACGTCCAAGCAGTTCTCCCAGGGCTCAGGAGAGGCTTGGACAGCCTCCGCTTCCAACTCTGAATCAGACTACAGCCTAAACAGTAAGAGAAACTCTGTTCCTTCTGATAAAAGCTCAATTTCACACCGGGTGCTCAAGCTGGGCTCCCTGAAGCCCAACCAAGGCATGTTTTGGAACATGCATGGTCGATCCTCTCCAGATCCCCAAACATTGTCGGAGCCTGAGTCTGAACTGAGCTTCTACAGCAGAAAGCCCAAAATGAAAACCCAAAGGAGTGCTTCAATCCCTAACATTATAATTGAAGGGGGGCATGGTCTTAGTCTGAACCCCACCAACCTGTACACTTTACCTCAAACCCAAGATATACTTTTTCCTATCCCAGGATATTACCCTATCGGACACCCTTCTCCTCTGGATGGCCTTCTGGAAAGAGCCAATGAGAGAAAGAGGGATCGAAATTTGAAAAAGGCCAATTTGAGGTCAAGATATCCTTCTACCTCCCCCTCGTTTTCCACCACTCCTTCACCATCACCCAGTGATGGAGACAGAGACACAGAGTGGGAGGAGGAGGTGGAGCTGATGAGACACCGGGCCCTCACAGTGAGTAAAGGATGGAAAGAGCAGCTGGTGGACGGAGATGAAGACGATAACAGAAACAGGTTAGTATGACAAAAAGTGCTGTAGCTAATCATTAATTATGTGATTTGTTAACATGTTAAGGAAATGTATTATATTTGCTGGATGGAGAATATTTTCACTACAATATAAACAAAAAAAACCAAATACCACATTTCATAGAAGACATTAGTGGCCAGAAATATACCCGCAGTTTCAAAAAAACATGTAAATACCACATCGTTCATAAAAATGACTGAATATGACTCAATGAATCATCATAATTAATTTTACCAATAGAGTAAAAAATATAAAAATTTTGATTTACCAATCAAGGCTCGAGTGGAACAACAAAAACCCTGAATGCCACTTCTTTTTTTGAAGATACATTTAAAATGTCACATTTTCAAAAGATTAAATGTCTCCACAAACATGCAGGGCTTCTCTCATAAATGCTGTAGATACATTATGGTTAGGATTATTATTATTATTGCTCTGAGTTGGGTCATTTCTTTTTAAGCCTGTCAAATCTTTGCCACTGAAATTAGTTTTCACTGAAGAGTAGTTTGGTCATATAGAGACTGTTCTGTAACGGAAACTAAAAAATGTCTGTGTAGGTACTTTAACTGTTTATTTAAAACAGTTCTATGGTTTAGTGTTCTATAGTGTATTATGTTATTTTTTACTTTTTGGCAAGATGAAAATTATTGTTTTCATTTAGTCCATGCACTGATGATAATTCAATTTAAATCTATTATCCATCTTCACGTATAAGGAGAAGCAGTGGTGGACACTTACAGCATTTATCAGTGGATAGAACAGGGGCATAATAAATGTTATAAGTAATATATAATGACTTCTCTCTTTTTCTTTAGCGTTGCCTTTTCAGAAGGTGTAAATGTGGACTGGCCAGGCTGGTGCTTTGACGACAACGAAGTCATGGATTATTTACAACCTCGAGATGAAGGACTTCTGGAGGGCATCAGTCGATCTTTGGCCTTATTGCATTGTCATGACATTTCTGAGCAAGAAGAAGGGGAGTGCAGTCAGGTGTAGGTCTAATACTGACCCACAACTAGACTGCAAATCACTGATGTGAGGTCACACAAATGGCGGACGTATTAAATTAAATTAAAATCAGGAACATTTTAGGCTTTTTATGAAAATAATATAAAAGATGTGTCTGGATGTAGCAGCTCAGCAACATCTTCATTCTGAATG